ACTGGTGATGATGATGACGAACAAAATATTTATTAAATAGAACGATGCACCTCCCCTTTCTGGTGAGAGAGGAGAAAAGAGGACCAAACCTTGCCGACGGCCCTGATCCCATGGGCCCTGGTGGCGTCTTTGGCCTGTCTTATTAAGCGGGCTTGTAATTGAGAGTCAGAGCTGAGGAGTGTGGTATCCCATCCACTCCCGTTTGAAAATTCACCTCTCATAGGGGCCTGTGGGCAGGCCCATAAATGTGGCTCAAGTCCACCCTGTTGTGGCAAATTATACAATTGTCCGAATGAAGTTCCGGCACGCAGCAGTTCATTGTTACCGGACTAGGAAACATATGGGTCTGGAGTAGGCACCACGCCACCACCTGTGCTTTGTTCAATGACGAGTGTGCGGCAGGATAATTTTCCTGCTAAGCCTGTAATACTGCGTAATATCTCTGTAAAAGTTCATCCGCTCAAATCTCTCATTTTCCTCCCCGCTCGACAAGGGCAATCCAGAGGCTCAGTCTTTGGTGCAATTTTTTTTCCTAACTTCACGCGATGTGGTTACGGTCACCGGCGGTGGACAACATGCAGCTGCGCGTGACACGAGTGGTGATCTCATAACAGCTTTCGCGTGTAAATGGTCTGAATTATGATCAAGCATTTCTTTCCTTCAACACTATAGTTTCACTCAACCTTTATGAGCATATGCCCCGCGTGTGTAACCGTATAGATAGAGAACCCAGGCTTTTGTTGAGCGAGAGCACTGCCGACACTAGCGTCTGTGAGAATTGTGTTCAGAGCAGTAGAGACTTGGCAGCGCAAGGTGGTGCAATATAGATGGTCATGTCAGGAGACGGCAAGAAGTGGGGAGCGCTTGATCAAACTCGGCTATAATGACTCGACATCGATGACGGTTCCTGAACGATAGGTCAAATGCACACTTACACAGGTGAAGTTACACGCATAGTGACCATAGTGGAAGCATAATCTAACGATGTTCTATAACTAGCCACCACTGTCGCTTCAGGGAAGCCTGCGACAGCGCGATGTTTAGACGGGTTGTAACGTACACAACTGTTGCACACCACACGCGTGAGAATCGAGTGTTTTCACAAAGTGAAGCCGTGGACGGCTTAATGCTATCCCATAGTTTAGTACCTCGTACTCCAAATTGTTACACACTTTTTTTAAACACACATTTCATGAGATTCATTTGAAGGTTAGTGTTCTTCCGAAATGTTACGACTTGTTTCAGACATGCAAAAATGTGTTGCGATAATTCGTGAAAGCCCCGCCGTGGTGATATAGTGACTAATGTACTCGGCCGCTGACCCGCAGATCACGGGATTGAATCCCGGCTGCGGCGGCTGCATTCCCGATGGAGGCGGAAATGCAGTAGGTCTGTGTGCTCAGATTTGGGCGCATTAAAGGACCCCAGGTGGTCGAAATTTCCGGAGCCCTCCACTACGGTGTCTCTCATAATCACTTGGTGGTTTTGGGACGTTGAACCCCACATATCAACCAAATCAGATTTCGTGAAAAACAAAACAATACTAGAGTCGAAGCAGCGGATACCTAATTTCTAGTTCACACACCGCAGAACCAAACAAATTATGCGCTCAGAAGGGAAGGGCGCACAGCAGAGACCGAAAGGCATTACACTCAAATAATTCACAGTAAAGTGCTACAAGGCTGTCTTTTGACGAACGTCATCTGCCCTGGTACTTGTCAATACTCCGAACAAAAATCTAAGAATTAAAAATCTCGACATCTTTTAAACATTCAAGGTCATCCGAATTCCTGGCGAAATGTTGAGCTTATATGAGCGCCGGTAAAGCTTCAAGAAGCGAATCTAGCTAACTTTTTTCAACAGGAAGCTAACGCGATGCTCACACACTTCGTGAAAGCCGAATAACGGCATCTTTGTGTATAATAAACTGCATTGTGATAACCTTAGATTAGGCTGTGAAAACCTGGTATGGCCAATGTCACACTGGTGAATTGGAGCCGTCGTCTACAGCTTCACGGCTGTCGCATGATATGACTGTCACGGGTGGTGCATGTTCTAAACCTAGGCACACGATATGCGCACACACACTGCAGGTGATCAATGTCTGATAACTGAATCTGGAGAGAGAAAGTGCTTTATTGAGAAGGAGGACGAGGAGGAGGAAAGATTAAGCGGAAAGACGGGGAGGTTAGCCAGTTTTTAGACCGGCTGGCTACAGTGTGCTGTGGAAAGGTGTCAGAGAAATAAAAGACGATAGAAAAGAAATGTTGCAGAGAGAGATAGAAAGATAATCAAAACAGAAAAATAGCGAAAGAAGAAAGGCAAAATCAAAGAGAAGGAGACAAAAGTCAATCTCTGAGGCTGCATATTGAGAACACCGTAGGACACTTTGCAGAAGATTGAACAGGAGAAAATGTACCGTTAGGTAATATTCATCATTTTAATGTACTAGAAAATTCTAAGTTAAACGATACAGTTGGTAGTTCATTGTTGCTCGCCCAAAAATGGCGCAGCAACTCGCCTATGTATTTGATTGATTGATTAAAACTTTATTTTGGTGCTGAGAAGACGCAGGGGAGACCCCACGCCACCCGCCTAATCCCACGTTGGGACCGTCAAGCCGACCTTGCCGGCCCGTTCACGGGCACTCTGGACGGCCAGAGTTTGATCCTTAAGTTCGAGGCTGCGTAAGAGCGCAGCCCACCTGTCCTCGCTGAGAATAACTCCTTAAAACTAGTTTCTATAAAAAAGCCTATGGCACATAGGTGCAGGTATTACGTCGGGCACCACCTGTGGATCCTATGTTCCTTGTTCAAAATTACCGAGCAAATACCAAATAGTTGTAGAATCATCTCGTCGGCCGAACCCCGGCCCTAACTGGCCAAACCCAGGCCAAAACTGTTCTATATGCATTCTGATGGCACGCTTCAGGAAGTCAGGCTGCTGCAGTCCATCGCTGTATCCTATTCAATACGCGCTCTTTATGCAGTAGAATCAGCAATTGTGAGGGCGTATAGACGAAAGTAAATAATAGGTATAAAAATTATGTCGTCCCTCTACAGGTCACAGTTCGGGTGCGCAATGAGCGTGCCAAGCAGCTGCAGTCTTGCTTCGAAAGCAGTGTGGCACACTGAACACTGAATATTATTGGCTCATCACACCTAAATAAAAAGCACTAGACTCCATCTTTATGCTGTTTATGAATATTTTTATTGAACTCAGGGTGTAATGAATCTTCGCGGGTGCGATTTCAACGACCCACAACGTCTTATTTGCCAGGATTTTTGGGTATATTAAAAACAAGGGCATTGGCGCGTCGTCGGTGCCCGCCGCCGGCTGCAAGGAAAGCAGATCAATCGATTTATCACAAGCCGTAACTCAACAGCTGTTTAATATATATAGATTATACCATTGGTTCTAATAACTTCCCCTGTACATTTCTTGACATTACTGTCTGTGAGATCTCATTATTATTGTGTTAAAACACGGAAAATTGAGCCGCCCTTAGGTATACACTTCTTTCCCTTAATTTATATATATATATATATATATAGGGAAAAGTGGAAGGGGGGCACCCGAGGGGCGTCCACCGTATATTATTTTTCTCTTTTTTCTTTTTTTCTTTCCTTTTCTTTTCTTTTTTTCTTTCCTTTTTTTTCCTCTTTCCTTGCCCTCTGATTTGAGATTGTATAAAGCTGAGCACCGACAGACTGTATCTTATTCCTGATGAAGGCCAGACTCTAGGCCGAAACGTCGAAATAAATCACGTTGTGACCGCTCACGGAGGATCTACTAGACTATATATATATAGATATATATATATATATATATATATATATATATTTAGGTATGGGATATAGCACAACGGGAGCGTTGTCAACAAGGATATATATTATATATATATATATAATATATATATATATATATATATATATATATATATATATATATATATATATATATATATATATATATAATATTTATATATATATTTATATATATATGTATATATATATATATATAATAATTGGCAATTCAGTGTTTTTCTCGACAGGGTGTGAATTCGAAGTTCCATTCGATAGCATGTTAGAATAAGAGCTCCAAATAACCTTATGACAGGGCGTCGAAGATACGCTGTGTCATCTTCCCACGCTAACATTTCTACGAAAAGGGGCAGTAAGCAGTTACTTATTGTATGATTGCAATATTGCAAGCTGAGGTATGCTGTGTTTATTTACACACAGTGTGTCTCATGAAGATTACTTAAGCCTTAATATCAAACAAATTGAAAGCAAATGTGGTATAAAGAATTATCTCCTATGCGTGCCAACAAGTATTTATTACATGCATGGTAGCTTTAAAACCAGAATACACAGCGTGTATTGCAAAGTTGCATACGCGCACAATATTTCCTTTCTGTTAAGTCCGGGGTGGTCGTCGTCCCATACACGTACTCCTGGAACGGTAGTGAAAAGGCATAGTCAACCTCGAACGGTTAAAGCTTGTTTATTCCTGCTCAAGCGGGGGTGGCAGCTGAACCACCGTGGGCAAGCGAGTGGCGTATCGTTGTGTCAAACGAGAGACGGAGGAGGAGGAAGAGGAGGAATCATACTGACCGGAGTCGTTTGCAACCGGTCGTCCACTGCTTCATTGTGTACCGCTCAGAGACTCGCTCAGAACCCAGGGGTGGTTTGGGACACAACATCTCCTCCCTTCTTAGATTGTTGCTTGTAAGTTATCTGGGGGCCACCGTTATTGCGTGGACGCTCTGGGGGGAAGAGGAGCCTCAGCTCACTGAGTGTCATTTTCCTTATGTTCAGATGCCGGTCGGTGGGGCACCGATTCATCCGGTGCGAGATACCGGGCTAAGTGTGACGAGTCTGCTGTCAGGGTGCCTGCTTGAATGAAACTTTCCGTTGACAAACTACCTGGACGATGTGGCTGATTAAGGTGTCGACGTGTGGCGTTTCCGCTGAAGTCCACGAGCGATGACCGCTAACCTGTGCGTTTTGAGCACCGTCGCTTCAACCCAGCTAGGCCCTCTGTCAAATTGGCAGGCAGATATGTGCTGCCCACTTTGAATTCTCTTGCTACACGATAGCTTTTTTTTCCTTGAACAATTTTTTTGTCGAGGGCTTTAACAATTGTTGTCAGCTGGGTTCGTATTTCTCCGCCAAACATCAGTTTCCCTGGTGTTTCTCCTGTGGAGCTTTGAACAGTGTTGTACTGTTTGAAGAGAAAGCGCGTGACGCGGCGTTGCATTGTCCCAGTCTGATTTTTAGCGAGGGCACATTTGAGCTCTGCCACGTAGCGCTCGGCTTGCCCGTTGTTCATCGGGTTGTATGGAGCTGACGTAATAGACGAGACGTCATTGTCTCTATAAAACTTGAGAATCTCCATGGACACAAACGAAGTACCATTGTCGAAGACAACCTTGTGCGGTTGTCCGAACGTTGCAGACAACTGCCGCAGAGTGTCAATAACTGCCGCCGATGTCGTTGTGCCCATTTGTTTTACCTCCAGCCATTTGTTGCATGCGTCAACAACCACCAGGAATGAACCCCTTTCGACAGGTCCAGCAAAGTCCATGTTCAGGGTGTGCCAAGGCGTTTGTTGTCGTTCCCATATCGGTATAGGAGCTCTTGGTGAAGCTCCGTGGTTGCATTAGCAAGGCTGGCAATTCTTAACTGTTGATTCGACGTCACGGTCGATACCCGGCCACCACATGCAACGTATGACGCACTTTTTCATGGCGACAATGTCTCGATAACTTCCGTGGACTAGCGACATGGCTTGTTCGCGAAGTGCTGCAGGAATCACCACCCTTGATCGCAAGGTGACGCAGCCACGATAAGTGCTCAACTCCGTAGCTCACTTGCGGTAACCGTTGATGTGTTTACCCTTCAGCTTGTGCACATTGCCTTCCTGTATAGCTGCGTAGACTTCCTTCAATAACATGTACTTCTGCGTTGATGTCGCTACCGTGCCAGCCGTTAGCAGAGGGTTCGGCAGCGCTTCGAACATGAGCATATCATCTGGCGGGGGTGATTTGTGTTCCGTGCTGTCTAGCAGCAGGCGGCTTAGTGAATCGGGGTTCTGGTGTTTTTTGCTATTGCGATGTTCGAGTTCATAATAGTACTCCGCTATCTTGATACATCATCGTGTCGTTCGCGAAGACAACGTCTGTGGCATTTTTTTCTGGGGGCCCATAATACCCAATAAGGGCCAATGATCGGTTATGAAAGTCCCTTTTCTGCCAGTAATATTATGTCGAAAGTGGTAGGGCTGCGTAGACGATGGCAAGTTCCTCTCTGTCTAGCTGGGAATAATTCCTCTCTGCCTGTGATAGGGTACGCGATGCGAAAGTGATCGGGGCTTCCCGTCGCTTCTCCTCAGGTTTGGAGAGGACAGCCTCCACTTCATATAGTGATGCGTCACAGGTTAGCAGTAGAAGTCTCATTTTGTCGTAATGTCGCAGAATTGTAGACTTATGTAGCAGTGCTTTAGGGGCAACAAATGACTTTTGATGGCGTGGCGACCAAATACATGGGACTTCTTTCTGCAGAAGCTAGATTGTTGACCACTGCAGCTCGATTGATGTTCTGAGAACCTGACTTATAACGTTAATATCCCTAAGGACGACTGCGATTCTTGTTTGTTAGTAGGCGATTGCGATTGCTCGCATTTTGTCTTCAGGGGGGGGAGGGGAATACCCTGCACGTCAATCTGTTGTCCGTGACAATTCTCTTCAGGTACCGCAAAAACACAATTTTCCTTGCTGATGCGCAAGTTAGCATTTCATAGCCTTTAAGGAATGAGCTCCAAACCTTCCGTGTGCTCTTGATTGGAGGTGCCCCCGACAATAACAACATCTAAGCAGACGCAAACTGCAGGGATCCCGCTAAGTGTAGACTCCATAAATTTCTAAAAGATAGCTTGTGATGCAGCTATGCCAAATGGTAGCCTTTTGACTTTGCAGAGACCCTTACTGGTGCTTATCGCGAGCAGTTCACGTGTTGATTCGCTCAACTTTAGTTGCTGGTAGGCTTGTTTCAGATCCAAGGTACTGAAGATTTTTCCACCCTGAAGCGTGCTAAAAACCTCTCCTGGTGTCAGCAGTGGGTAGGATGAGTAGGGTGCCGTCAATTTTTTGGACGACAACGTGTGCTGAGCCCATTCTGAGTGTTACGTCGTTACGGTGATCTCTTGCTGCTGCAGTCGGTCAAGCTCACTCTCGACTGACATTTGTAGGACAAAAGGGACCAACCTAGCTTTCAAAAATTTTGGTTTTGCGTCTTCTCGCAGCATAGTGTGATTGGAGGTCCGCGGCCTCTTGGTATTTCTTTGGAAAAAAACCGCCTTGTACTTCTCTTGGATCTGCTCAACTGACGCGTAGCTGTATGCATGGTTAACTTCACCAACGACCACTCCAAGAGGGGTGAACCAATTACTTTCTAAAAGATTTGATCTGGAGACGAGGACAACTAGAAATGGCAGGTGGTGGGTCAGGCCGTTGTAGTTGACCTCTACGTTGGGCCAACCAAGTCGTTCAAGGTAATATCCTGACCACGTTCTCAGCGGCGTGTCGTCTTGCTGGAGAGTTGGCGTATTCTCACTCCAAGTAGCTCAAAAGTTTCCTCACTGATGAGCCTGTATGCTGCTCCAGAATCCACCTCAAACTTATCTATCATTTTCTTCAGCCTCGTGCCGAGATTCACAATGGCGTTTAAGTCGTATAGAGCCGCTCACTTTTGTGATGTTCTGGCTTTGCTATCTTGTGTTTGGCCCTCTTGAGCGTCAACGTTGTGGTAACGTTGCATTGAACCCTTGCTGGTGCTGGTGAGCGGCGCTCTCTGCTCACAGGGCGATGCCTTACGCTTTGTAGAATGTGAAACCCGTCCCTGCGAACAGGCGTTGTTGCAGTCCTGGGTCATGCAGTGCGCACACAAAACGATCCCTCAACATAACGTCCAAGGAGAGCATAGTGGTGTTAGCAGGCCTGGTAATCGATCCTCCCTCCTGCGCTGTAGCTGTTGTTCCTGAGGTCGGCGTCACGAAATGGCAGTCAGCAGTGAGTTGTTTAAGAGCTACCACGTAATCGCTCACTTTTTCGCCTTCTAGTTGGTCTCGCCGTTGGAAGCGGGCTCAGCTGCAGACCTCCGATAGCCTTGGGTCATAGTACTTTTTAGCGGTGCTACGATGTCGTCGTAGTCGACAGTTCCTGGAGTGCGTGGTTGAATCAGGGCACAGACTGTGTCACATGTCTGCTTCCCACACAGCGTTAGCAGGTTGGCTCTCTTCCTCGCTGAATCAGTGATGTTGTTAGCCCCGAAGTAAAATTGCGGGCGTTCAAAGCACGATGACCATATAGAGCCATTGAAATCGGATAACCGATTCAAAAGCCAGTGCGTAGCCATGACTTGCTTGTCAAAGCGTTGCGTATCAGATGCAAATCCAGTTCCCCGTCACCGCTGTTATGTCCGGGGTTGTCGTCGTCCCATACATGCACTCCTGTAGCGGTAGTGAAAAGGTATAGGCAACCTCGAACGGTTAAAACTTATTCCTTCTCAGACGGGGGCGGCAGCTGAACTGCCCTCGGTAAGCGAGTCGCGGATCGTTGTGTCGAGTGAGGGACGGAAAAAGAGGAAGAGGAAGAGTCTTAATGACTGGAGTCGTTTGCAACTGGTCGTCCACCACTTCATAGCGTACCGCTCGAAGGCTCGCTCGAAACCCAGGGGAGGTTTGGGACACAACAATTTGACTGAACACGGACTTCATACCGAACAGAAGATGCGTCGTTAAACAGGTTTGCAGTTACGTGTCTACTTAACCATTACCGTTATCCCGCTAAACTAATAGGGAGTTTTAGCTTGTACGTATACTTCTTTACGTTAACGTGTTACCGGATACCGGTACGCGTTTACCGTCTTACCGGAACGGATATCTTTCAACGTGTTAGCTCCTCATACGTAAACGTTCACGTACGTACGTAAACGCGTATACTTTTACGTTTTCGCAAACCATAAATGGTGATGCTAACCACATATAAACTGTATTCAACTTACATATGATTGAATCACCATTGTGGTGAAATCACGAGACGTTCTTTTATTGCGTACAGTATCCTCGTATGCGCAAAAGAGTGAAAAATATAAGGCTAATGCAGCGATGGTGTCGACATCTTGTGACACTTCGTGCAACCACAGTCATAAACACGTTGGCTTACGCGTAATGTTTTTGAGGTGAAAATGATTGAAAAGGTAACTCATTTGTAATAACAGCGCTGCGCGTTTTTTTTTTGCATCACACGTACAATGCATGATGTTTCTGCAATAACAATTTTGTGATTACCTGGCTCACTATTGCCACGCTATATAGCACCACCTATCTAGCTTCTCGGGAATTCGCACGTTTACGGCGTTTATGTCCTAGAACATTCTAGATTCGGTAATCCAGCTGAAACAATGTTATGGCCATTGGCGCTCGCACTTCGGCTACTTCTGCTTATAGGAACTTGACGGTTCGAGTCCCCTAAATTAGGATTACACGAGTTTCTACGAAAGAAGGTGGATTTGCAAGATAAGGCTGAAAACGCAAAGTCTATTTGGCGGGAAACGTAAAGGTTTACGTTCCGTAAAAACCCGCGCATGAGCAGATTCTATCCGGTATGCGGTAACACGGAAACGTAAAGAAGTATACGTACAAGCTAAAACTACCTAATACCCCTGTCACACGGGCACCCACAAACACTGTTTAACTCGCTCGTCCTTATTACAAGCGAGATTCGGCCCGTGTCACATGACCACCCTTACGCAAACGAAGGTAAACGGAGCATTTCGCGAAGGACGTTGAATGATCTCCCTTTGCAGCGGAACGAGGTACTCTCGTCCCCAGTATATGCAGGACAGAAGAATATTTTGAGCACTAATTGCCGCATTGAGAACAATAATACATTTTCGCAATATTTACCGTTCTTTTGTTACAGTACTCAATAATAACGTGTGTTTCTTTACATATATATATATACGCCCACCAGACTGCAGCTACTCTCCACACCCATGCCCTCCACACCGTGCCTCGCTTGTCGGGCACCCCTCCGCGGATGTCTACAGGCTTTGGTACTCGGCTGCTGACCCGAAGGTCGCGGGACAGAATCCCGGCTGCGGCGGCTGTATTTGCTATGGAGGCGGAAATGTTGTAGGCCCGTATGCTCGGATTTGGGTGCAGGTTAAAGAACCCCAGGTGGTCAAAGTTTCCGGAGCCCTCCACTACGGTGTCTCTCAAAATAATATGGTGGTTTTGGAATGTTAAGCCCCACAAATCAATCAATCAATCATCGCTTGTCGGGCGCGGCCATTTAAAAGTCTTTTGTCCCTGCGTATTGTTGTCGTCGTCAACCTGCTTGCGTTTGCCCGTGGGAGGAATGACTGACAGCGTTGCATCATCGTCACCTGCTTCCACGGCTGCAGGGGTGATGCGACCTGATCGAATTCAAGGGTAACTTACGGGCTAGAAAAACAACTAGTCGTCGAGCATGGCGCAAACATAAATAAACATAACGTTAGGCACAAAGTGGCCAGCGTCGCTGC